ATTACGTCTCATTGACAGAAGCGAACGTGGAAAACCATAATGCAGGATGCTTTTATGTCCTGGTTTGAAAAGTCTAACAGCGATGACACTGAAAGCGAATGTCCTAACGACTATTCCCCAGAAGACATTAAAAAAATATTCGAGGATAGTTTACCAACGGATTACAAAACGCCAGAACAAAAAGATTTCTTTCCGCCATTGAAAAAAATGAAAAAAGAGCAAGAAAGCTCAAGATAGGGTAACCTGTTCAATTAATATTCGTTCAATTGAAATCAGGCTACGTGGGGATGAAGCATTACACCTTAATGAAGAACAAAAACATATTCTGCAAAAACTACTCTCTGAACAGAAAAGTATTTTTAATCAAGCCGCAATGCCAATAGCTCATGTTGAGCATTACATCAAAACGGAAGCACATGCTCCGATCTCGTCCCAGCCGTATCGCATTTCCCCAGCTATGAAACTAAAACTTAAAGCTGAATTAGACGACATGTTGGAAAAGGGCATAATTAAGGAAAGCGAATCACCGTGGTCTTTCCCCGTCGTTCTAGTACCAAAAAAGACTGGAGGAATGAGATTTTGCGTAGATTATCGTCGCCTGAACGCAATTACCGTAGCAGATACGTACCCTTTACCGAGAATGGATGATTTGCTGCATGCGGCCAAGGCTAAGCCATTTATGTCCACTATTGATTTGAAATCCGGATACTGGCAAATAAAAATGGCTGAAAACGATAAAGCCAAAACTGCTTTTACTACGCCATTCGGTATATTTGTTTTTAACCGCATGCCTTTCGGGTTAAAAACGCCCCGGATACATTCCAGCGTTTAATAGATAAGTTTCGATCTGGTCTTCCTCAAATTTTAATTCTGGCATATCTTGATGACATTATAATATGCTCGAAAGATTTCGAGTCACATATAGCTGATCTACGACGCACCTTCAGGAGACTGTGCGATTTCGGTTTTCAAGTGAATAGAGAAAAATGTGTTTTTTGTTGCTCAGAAATCAAGTACTTGGGTCATATTTTGTCAACAAATGGCTTAAGGCTTGACAACGCAAAAACAGATGCCATTTTAAAGCGCCCTAACTCGAAAAATTCAAAGCAAGTTATATCGTTTTTGCAAACTGGCTCATGGTATAGGCGATTCATTCCAAATTTCGCAGAAGTATAGAAGCCTTTATCGTGGTTGACAAAGAAAAATGTGCCGTGGACATGGTCGAGCGATCAACAAAAAGCTTTTGATACGCTTAAAACGCTATTATCGTCCCCACCTGTTTTGAAACAAGTAGACGAAACCGAACCATTTTTTGTTAAAAACCGACGCGAGCAATTATGCTCTCGGGGCTGTGTTACTGCAGGGGGAGAAAGAAGAGGAGCATCCCATCGAATATGCTAGCCGCCTTCTACTTCCAGCTGAAAAGAATTATTCAACCACAGAGCGTGAGGCACTTGCTGTGGTCTGGGCTACACAAAAGTTTCGTGGGTATATCGAAGGAGCAGAAGTAACAGTGCTTACCGATCACCAACCACTGAAGTGGCTATTTAGTTTAAAAACGCCTACAGGACGCCTTGCTAGATGGGCCTTACAACTCCAGATGTTCAACTTAAAGTTTGGTTACACCACAGGTAAGCAGAACGTAGTTGCGGACATGTTGTCTCGCCCACCTTGCTCGCGTGATACCCATGAAGAATTGAACTGCGAATGTTACGCCATTGAAATAGATTTTCCCCGAAAGGGCACTGAAGAGTTCCGCGATGCTCAGCTCCAGGACCTGGATATTAAAACTATTATCGAGTCATTCGAAAAGGATGATGAAAATGTTCCAAGGCATACAAGCCGCGGTTATATGTTGGTGAATGGCGTTTTATACCGTTTCTGTTCGGAAGAAGAAAAGCGATGAGACCTACAATTTTGAAAAAGTTTCATGATGACCCTACTGCCGGTCATTATGGTATTGATCGCACTACGAGTCGAATCACCCCACATTATTTTTGGCCGGGAATGCGCGCCGAAATAGCTGACTATATCAAATCTTGTATCGAGTGTAAGAAGTATAAACCCACATATATGAAACCTGCAGGCTTACTGCAAACAGTTTGCAGTAACAAAAGATTTGAAATCATCGCTATTGACTTGTTCGGCCCTCTGCCTCGCACCTGTATTGGTAATCGGTGGATTCTCGTCGTGGAGGATATTGGCAGCCGATGCGTGGAGCTGTTTGCGTTGAAGGAAGCCTCAGCAGAAAACTGTGCATCAGCGATTCTAAACGACATTATATTGAGATACGGCGTACCAAGGCGCATACACGCAGACAATGGCACCCAGTTTGTTTCATCGGTGCATTTTGTTTGGGTATTGATCAAACTTTCACACCAGTTTATCATCCAGAGGCGAATCCCGTCGAGAGGAAGAATCGAGATTTGAAAACGCAACTATCAATATATGTTGGTAAAAATCACAGAACATGGGATACATGTTTACCGACAGTAAGGTTTGCAATGAACACAGCACGGTGTGAAAGTACTGGTCACACAGCTGCATACCTCACATTTGGTCGAGAATTAAGAAGCCCACTAGAAACGCATTTTGACTTAAAAGCCATTGTGGAAGCAGAAAACTTCGTTCCTCAAATAACGCCGCATTTGATAAAGTTAGCTAACACTTTGAAAATGGCAATGGAGGTACAAGAAAAACAGCAAGACAAGAACAAAACCTACGTTGACGGCAAGAGAAGACCTCAACCTACTTTTAATATTGGAGATAAGGTTCTAGTTACTACGCATATGTTAAGCAAAGCCAATGAAGGAATAACCTCGAAATTCGCCACCCGCCGTGATGGTCCATATCGCATTGCGGCAAGGAAAGGGGCATCATGCTACGTCATCGCTTCGCTTGATAATCCCAAAGAACCAATAGCAACACACCACGCAACGGATTTGACACCATACGAAGGCTCTTATGCTGAACCAAAATACCAACATAGAAATCGGGGCCGACCGAGGAAAGCTCGTATAAGCCACCCTGCACAACAAACAAGACATACCTGCGACGAAAATGAAAGACACCAAGATACGAGTAGTAACGACAACATCCAAACTGGCAGAACATTGCGCCCAAGGAAACCAATATGAGTGCTGACTGCATCATCGGGACGACTTCTGCGTCAGAGGGGGAGGATGTAACGGCGCTGGCTATCATTACGTTTAATTATGATTTATTTAATTATTATGTTATTTGTTTTTCTTAATTTCATTTTATTTGTTTCGCATTTTTATTATCGCAAAGACTGTACCTATATGTATAATTGTAATTGTTAGCCTCTGTTCTAA